TTATTATTATTAAAATCCTACTCTCACTCTGCTTTCCTTTAATCATATTAATGCCCTTTCTTTTACTTGGTGAAAAGAGGTTTCCACTGGATTTTTCCATAAATCATCCCCTAGGCTTTAAGCCTTTCAAGAAGTTTCCTGAACACAGGAGTGGTGAGTTCTGTCTTCAGGCTCCTTGGTAGAAGGAGTAGAAATTAATGAAATTTCAGAGAGGTGTCCCACTCATTCTATTTATTTGGAGCCATAGGACCCTTTCTTTTATAAGTATTTTGGCTTTTAGTATTTTGCTCAGAGCACAAGGCATCACTGTTTAGCAAGCATTTGAAACTACTACTTTATATCATTGCATTTTAAATGCCAGAAAGATGATAGACACACTTAAGAGGAATTACTAAAGCAATAACTCAGAATAGAAAGCTGTCCAGTTTAGCTGGAGCTTACAGGAGATATGGGGAAGTTGCAATAAGAGATAGGGCTAGAAGGAGATTTTCAGAGGATAATTCAAGAGTTGAAAATCAGACTGAGATATCTGATTCTGAGGGCAATGAGGGGATGCTGAGGATTTTAAAGTAGGGACCTTGCATGATTCTAGCCAGGCTTCAGAAAGATTAATAGAGCAGTGGCTGTAGAAGAGAAGAGAATTAGGAGAGAGGAGGGCATAGGAGGCAGGACTGGATTCAAGGGGTCCTCTTAAAGCCGTAACAACATTTCTCTTTGGATGGTCCCAGCTCTCTTAAACCTAGGATCACCAAGACAGAACTCATTAGTGTTTCCCACTGACTATACCTCCCCCTTAATCTTCTCCATCCGAATAAATGGTACCACCAACCACCAATTCCTCCAGTCAGAAACTGGAAGTCACATTTGAATTTCTCTCCATCAGGAAGTCTTCACAGCACTACCCCCAAAGAACTTCTCTTATCCAACCACTCCTCTCCATGTTCCCTGCCAAAATCTGAGTCTAGGGCACCATGAACTTCACCTGGACAACTGCAACATCCTGAATGATGTCCCTCTGTTCACATTCTGCAAATGGTGCCCAGAGAGATTTGCTCCGAGTATAAATCAGACAGGATCACTCTGCTGTTGACAACCCTCCAGTGGTCATTGATGCGTTTAGAATAAAATTTTAACTTTTTATCTTAGCCTAAAATGTCCTACCTATTCTGTCCTCTGCTTAACCCTCAGATTTAATCTTTCTCCTCCTCTTATTCATGACATGTTAGCCTTCCTTGTCGCCTGTGCTCACAAGGCTCCTTCTCACCTCAGGCCCCTTTTAGTTTCTCAGTACCAGTAGTATAACTCTGAAAACAAAGGCTAGTTGGAATAGCGGAGAGGCCTCATTCTCTCACCTTGAATTTTTCCCAGGCAGGGATGATATCTTGCTCATTAAATCTATACATAACTTTTCAATGGCCACATGTAAAGATTTTTGGTTTGTGGTTGCAGCAGTTACAATAGACACTGTAATAAACAGGGTCATCTTGTGGAGAGCCCCTAAATGGAAGACTCTCCTGGCTCATTTCCTCCTCTTTGTCTCTCTAGGGTAATATCTGGTTGACAGAAACCAGAATTTCAAAGGTGGCAGTGGGAAGGGAAGGGGGGGGTGAAATTTCTGCTGGAAGGTTTGCCTTAGGCTGCAGGGGCCCCTCCCACCTCCAACTCCAACACTATTCCCTTTGCCAAGTCAGTTTCTCTAAAGGGCGCCTGGTTCATTCAGGTGTGCAAAGCTTCTATTACTTTATGTTATTGGAAAAGAATATATGCCCATATACATCTTCCTTCCCAATCACATCCCCAACTAAACTCATCCTTAAGATTTTGGGATATATATATTCAAAATATTTTCTGTGAATATAGGCATCAGTTAGTAATATAAAAGTATCTCCAAACTTTGTGGCATATATTTATATTCAGAGATCCTATAGGTCAGGACTCTACGCTTCTAGGGCATAATGAGGGCACTTGTTCACCTTCATGATATCTTGGGCTCAGCTACTTAATCAGGAAGACCCTCTGACTTGATATTGGAGATTGAAACCATCTGAAGGTTCATCCACTCACACTTGGGAGCCTGAGATGACTTGAAAATTAGAGCTGCTGACTGGACTGCTCCATCTGTTGGGAAAAAACAGGCTAACACAGGAGGAAGAAAGATGGGGGACATATACCAGACAGAAGGAAAAGCATCTACACATAAGGTTCCCTGGTGGGAGGGAAGACTATGCATTAGAAGTAAAAGAAAGAGAGCCAGTAAGGTTAGATACACACACACACACACACACACACACACACACACACACAATACACAATAACAAGAGAGAGAGAGGAGTCCCAGGCAGGAGGTCAGATACCACATGTCCTTATAGAGCCCAGTTTTAACTTTTGTGTTTTACTTTAAGAACAATGAGGAGCCAGTTAGAATCTTAACTGTGAGGTTGAGGCGCTGGGGATTAGGACTCCAGCATCTTTCTGGAGTTGACACAACTCAACCCATAACATGCCAATAGCGTTACACTGCTGCTAGTCTTCTGGTGCTCCACCACCTTAGCCACCTGTAAGTTATCCTGAGCTTTCTCACACGTATATAAATGGTCTCTTCATGAAATTCTCTTAGGTTAAACCCTTTAAGTGTGCTAGGGTTGCTCTGGGACCCTGACTCATACATCCATTTTTGAGACCTATTTAATAAATAAACTGTACAGGGCTTGGCAATGGGTGGGGAGTGGAGATGAGGCAAAGGGTCAAATGTAATTCCCAATTTTCTGTCTGGTGTAATTGATGGGTGTGGTACCCTTCACTGAGATCAGGCATGCATAGAAGAATCACTGCAAAGAAGATAATATGTCTTGAGACATATAATGAATGTATGAGCCACACACACACACACACACACACGAATCCTGAATGTCTGTGCATTATTGAGTTTATATGACATATAAAGTCAGCATAGATTCAAATCCTGGCTCTGCTACTTACTAGTTAAGTTACCTAGGACAAAAGATTTCACCTTTTTCTTCCTTATTAGTCATAAAATGGACATCACAAAACCTGTCTTATAGCGTTGCAGTGAGGATTAATGAGATGAGCCATAGAAAGCACTTAGCAAAGTGTTTGACATTTACTAAGAGAGTAATAAATGCCAGTATTAGCCAGTATTACTCTTACATACTTACTTTCCATCTGGAGAAAGTATCACCAACAGCAAAGGTCTTGAAATGATCCACCTGAACGTGGTCTCAGTCCTATTTTCCACTGTAAATTTAAAACTATTTTAAATGCAGTGCAGGATGGAAATAAAGTTGCTAGCAGACTCATACTTCTAAAGCTTTCTCTTTTCTATTTGGTTTTGAACTTGGGGGTGAGTGGGTGGCTGAGTCTTAAGCATCTGCTTTCAGCTTAGGTCATGATCTCAGGGTCCTGGGATCAAGCCCCACATCAGGCTCCCTGCATTCAGTGGGGAGCCTGCTTCTCTCTCTCCCTCTCTCTGCTGCTCCCCCTGCTTGTGCTCTCTCTCTGTCAAATAAATAAATAAAACCTCAAAAAAAAAAAAAAAACCTCAGTAAGCTCATTTAAAACAGTTTTTAATCTTGATGCTGGATATCAGTTGGAGATGTGGCTACATTTCAAAGCAATGTAGATATTTTAGGATGTAAAGAGGGCTTTGGGAAATTATATTGTCTGACCTCTAATTTTCGGATGAGGAAATGAAGACCTGAGAGGGTAAATGACTCATCTCAGGCCACACAACTACAGGCATAGTTGGGGCTAGAATCCAATCCTCATGACTCAGATGCTGGCCTTTTCATCTCCAACATGGCAGCCTCTAGCAAAACAGTCCGGAAAAATGTTTATTGCATGGAGTTTTAAATTTATATAATGAACACAACGCTGCTCTAAAAGAAAATACAAGTTGAAATGAGGAATGAGGGACCAAAGTAGGAGTTCAAACCATTACCAGTTGTGTTTTTTTTTTAATATATAAATCCACAGAAACAATTCCTTCTGAAAAACAGATGAATAATTTAACTGGCATTTTAAACTTTCATAAATGTATGCTGTTAGCAAGGGGTCTGACTACTTTTGCACATGGGAATAGACTTTTCTCACACTCTGAAACTATGAGTTGCCACTTTTCAAATTTATTTTGAAGACTTGGTGATTTTTTTTCCCTCTGTGACAATAAAGTAACTGAACTGTGTTCAACTGTCTATCCTAAAGACATTCTATTATAAAGAATTCTGACTCCATGAACTAATGGTATTTTGAGGAGATCACTATATATATTTTTATAATCAAGCTGGTTTCTGAACATTAAGTTAAAAAAATATAAACATCACACCTGCGTCAATCATGTTGTGATGTTTGAGTTTGATTATGTGGAACCACATAGATCAGTTTTCTTGCTTAGACAGGAGGAAAGCCAGAGATAGAATTTATCTTTCCATATCATCTTTTCTAGTATAGGAAAAAAAGAGATATAGAAAAAAAGAAAAACTTCAAGGCACAATTGGGGAAAAAATTTTAAATATCATACTTCCTGATGTTAGGAGAAAGGAATATAATTTTTTGTATTGAAAAAAAAAGACTGTGTTTGGTAGACATAGTATTCAAGAGAAAAGCTAATCTAACTGAAATGGATTATGTTAAAAAGAATTCTATTACCTCAAAGACTTGGTATCCATAGCAACTGAGACATCTCTATACTTACTCTTTCCATCCATAATGGGGGAAATAAACAGCCAAAGAGCTTGCCATTTCCTGATATCACTATATCATAGCTAATAAGTTATTATTTGACTGAGACATCTTAACAAACCCTACTGCTGTTATACTTTTGAAACAGAAACATTCCCCTACCCCCCAAAAAAAGAAGAAATAAGAACATGCTACCCAAATTCAGGAATGAAAAATCAGCTTACAAAGGAGAGTTGTGAAGCACATCCAAGGAGGGAAGGAGTTCCTCTCTAAACTTGGCTCCTAGCCAATGTCCAAGGTAGAAAAGCATTTTTCTGGGCTTCTGCCAAGCCACAGGTCACCTGGTCCTCCATCCATGCAAACCCTGTCATTTGAAAGGGAGTCCAGACCTACGCAGACCACTCTCAAAAAGCCTAAAGATGTTCAAAACAGAATGCTCAACGAGTGGCAAATGTGCGCCTTTTGCATATATCACTGTTGTTATAGATAGTAACTTTTTATTCATTCATCAAACGTTTGCTGCATATCTAAATGTGCCAGTCACTGTGTAAAGTTCTGAGGATGTTAGATGTGAATGAGAGAGTCCCAGCTATCCAGAAGTTCACATCTAGTATGAATCAAGATATATCATATGTCCTTTAAATATTAGAAAAGGGGATCCCTGGGTGGCGCAGCAGTTTAGCGCCTGCCTTTGGCCCAGGGCGCGATCCTGGAGACCCGGGATCGAATCCCACGTCAGGCTCCCAGTGCATGGAGCCTGCTTCTCCCTCTGCCTGTGTCTCTGCCTCTCTTTCTCTCTCTCACTGTGTGCCTATCATAAATAAATAAAAATTTAAAAAAAAATAAATATTAGAAAAGGATCATTAACATCCACCTACAATGGGCACATTGTTAGATAATTCCCTTAGAATTCAGAACAGTTTCTGGCAAACAACTGACACAAAGTAAAAAAAGAAAAAGAAAAGAAGAGAAGAGAAGAGAAGAGAAGAGAAGAGAAGAGAAGGAAGGGAAGGGAAGGGAAGGGAAGGGAAGGGAAGGGAAGGGAAGGGAAGAGAAGAGAAGGGAAGAGAAGAGAAAAGAACAGAGTCCAAACAGTGCAAAAGTGCAAACTGCAAACCTTGAGAAGTCAAACATACAAGTTGAACTGCATCTATCTTATTCATTTTATTCAATATTCTTTGTGTCTCCCTGAGTCAGGTGTTCTGGGCACTGGGATTTTCATGTGAAAACACATTAAACCATTGTTCTAATGGTCCATTTTCTCCACAGGACTGGCCACCTTCAAATACACCCTATGCTTTACTTATTTGTTAAGGTTATTGATTATTGTCTGTCCTGTTCTAACAATATAAATTCTACAAGGACATGAATTTTGTGTTTGTTCCCTGAGAAAAACTGTACCTAGAACACTGGTTGGAATACTATTTAGTTGAAACTTCTGAAGTCAGCAAGTGTGTGTCCTTTTAGTCTGCTCTTCATTTTCAGGATTGTTTTGGCTATTTTTGGTCCCTTCAGTTCCATATGAATGTTAGGATCAGCTTGCCAATTTCTACAAAGAAATCAGCTCAGATTCTGACAGGAATTGTGTTGAATCTGTAAATCAATCTGGCAAGTACTGCCATCTTAATTTTTCCAATCTATAAACATGGGATGGTTTTCCATTTATTTATATCTCCTTTAATTTCTTTGAACAATGTTTTATAGTTTTCAGAGTATAGTCCTGCCCTTCTTTCATTAAATTTGTTCCTAAGATTTTATTATTTTTGATGCTACTGTGAAAATGATTGTTTCATTAGTTTTGTTTTTGGATTATTTATTGTAAAATGTATAAATATACAACTGATTTGTATTCTGCAAACTTGTTTAGGAGCTCTAATAGTTTTTAGTGGATTCTTTTGGGTTTTTTGTATACAAGATTATGTTATCTGCAAATAGAGATAGTTTTACTTCTTCCTTTCCTATATGAATGCCTTTTGTATTATTATTATTATTATTATTATTATTAATTATTTGTCTAATTGCCCTGGCTGGAATCTCCATTACAAGTTGAACAGAAGTGGTGAAAACAGACATCCTTGTCTTGTTCCTGATCTTAAGTAGTCTTAAGTAGTCTTAAGTAGAAAATATCCACTCTTTCACCATAAGTATGATGCTAGCTGTGAGGTTTTTGTAGATGCCCTATTTCAGGTTGAGGAATTGTCCTTCTTTATCTTATTTGTTGAATGTTTTTATCATGAAAGGGTCAATTGTTTTTCTGTATCAATTGGGATGGTTGTGTGATTTCCGTTTTTTGAAATTCTGTTAATACATTACATTGATTTTCAGGTGCTGATCCAATCTTACATCACTGGGATTGTAATATTGAGAATTTTTTGCATCTATAGTTATAAAAAATTGATCTGTGGTTTTCTGGTGATGTCTTTGCCTGGTTTTGATATCAGGGTAATAGTGGTCTCATAAAATGAATTAGTTCTCTCTGTTCTTTGGCTTGCCTAATCTCTATTTATGTTGTCAAGTTTGCTAATTCTTTCTTCTACCAGTTGAAATCTATTGTTGAGCACCTCTAGTGAGGTTTTTAATTTCAATTATAGAACTTCTCAACTTCAGAATTTCCATTTTGTTCTTTCATATAATAGTTACTATCTTTTTATTGATACTCTCTATCTGATTCAACATTGTCATAGCTTCCTTTACTTCTTTTATCATGCTTTTGTGTAGCTCTGTGAACATATTTCTAATGGCTGTTTTAAAGCATTTTTCTGTGAAACTTCACATCTGGTCGCTTTCATAGGCAGTATGCGATGTCTCCTTTTTTTCCCCCATGCAGAGGTCATACTTTCCTGTTTCTTTGCATGCCTCATAAATTTGTTGGAAATGGATATTTTAGATGGTCTATTGTAGCAGTTCTGGGCACTAGATACCCCTCTTTGAGGCTACTGTTATTGGTTATTTTTTTCTTTATTACCTTGCTGGATTATTTTATTGAAATCTATTTCTTTCTCCTTCCATAGTGTTAAACCTTGAATGTTACTCCTTAGCAAAGCACGCCTTTGAGTATGCTCTCAGTAACCCAGAGATGGTGGTTCTATTGGTAGGGCTCTCCTTTCTTTCCCCCAACTACAACTCAGCTGTTAAGCTCTATTAACTGTCAGCTGATGACTGTTTTGTTTTGTTGTTGTTGTTGTTGTTTTTAACAATTCCTGGGTCATAAATAGCTCTACAAATTACTCCAATCAGACTGTGGTTCCTTTGAGAGTGATTTCTGATGTCATGTTAGATATTTGTTCTCACCCCCAGGAGGGCTCCTCCCAACGGCATTATTCTGGTTCTCTCCTGCAAAGTAGTCTACCTACAATGTAGGCTCTATCTTCATTAAATCCACCTATTTGCCTCCAAATTTCATTTTAACCCTAGCCCCACTAATCTCAAGAGTGTCCTTTGGCTTGTGTACTTCTCCAAGGTCTGTTGCAAATGAAGTCAGTACTCTTGGGAAGAGATTGAGAACTATCGGTTTATGGCTGCTTCTCCCTCAGGCAGTTTCTGAACCAGGGTTTTGGAGCTGGAGATGCGGACAAAGGTAAATTTCTCTCAGAATGACACCTGTGCTCTAGGAGTTGAGGACTTGGGTAGATGGGGGAGGCAGAAGCCTGAGCTTGCCTCCCCTGGCATGGAGCCATAACTTCATGAGGTGGGGTACTCCAGGACACTCAGCATGTCATGCCCAAGGTAGACTCTCCATTTCATGAGTGAGGCTGAGGGAAGGGACACACTTATTTATTGATTGCATTCACTCAGAACTTAGCCTCAGCAACATATAGCTGGGGATGGAATGAGAAACACTGAAGTCCTGCACCTCCTGGCAAGAAAGCTCTTCCACTGGGAGCTGGAAGAGGAGAAGGAGAGAGTAGTCTTTGTTCAGATACTACAGACTCTCATATTTCTTTCCAAATTTTTGTGAATTTTCTGGAATAGATGGTTTTTCATTTTGTTTGCCCTTAGAACCATTCCAAGGAGCTTTACATTTTTGAAAACTACTTTCACCAGTTTCTCTGTGAATTGAGTCAGCAAAACTCCTTACACTAACACAGGAAGTGCAGCAACCATTCATTTTAATGCAGTCATTCATTGCTAACTTACAGCAGAATGGCTGTGGAATATATGCTGTCCACTTATTATTACATTTGCAGCAACTAGTGACATGGTTTGAGATCCCTAATGAATAGTGACAAGGTGTTTATGGGGAACCATGCTTTGCTCTGGTGAGATCACAGGCACTAAGAGCAGCTCATGGAAGATGCGGGTTTGTCAGTGATTGGATAAATGCTATACAGTAACACGAATGATTAAACATCTAAAGCTCAACCTGTTGGATGGGCTTTGAAGAGGCTACAAACCAATTAGTCTTTTTATCTTTCAGGAACAGCCTGGAAAACAGGATCTTAATTCAAGCTCAGCTTGATTTCTGGGCTATGGAGAATAAAAGATGTCAGTGACATAAAACAGGAAACAATTGATTAAGTCTTATCTGAGTTTTAAAGGCTGAATGCTGTGAAAAGCTCTAGTCATTTGCAATAATCACATTTACATCAACCTTGATGAAAATGAGGTGCTGCTAAGCCTCAGAATGATTCTCAGCTCTGGAAAGTATTTCATATTGTCTCAAGTCTTCAGAGAGGTGCTGAGCAAGAAGCACCTGCTGTTACATTGTGACTATTAAGAACACAGAGTCCTTCTGTTGCCTTTTCTTTGATGCTAACACCTAGTACCCAAGAACTACCAATGAGGTTGAAATACAAGAACCCATGTTTTCTAAAGATGTTTCATCAGGAAAAGAGAGATGGTATGCTCAAATACACTCTGTTTGACTTTTGCCTCTAAGGGGTTTTTCCCTCTGTCTATGGACTTAAAAAATAATTTTCACAATGCTTTTATATCGTCTAAACATAAAATATGGGAACAGCAGGGGATTGACATTTAGTTCATTAGGTTGGAACTGAGATTTCTCATCCCGGTGCCTATGGTTACTGAAGAGATTCACTCTCCCAGAGAATAACTTCTTGTACATCTGTGTATCCAGAGCCATCATAAATGGTATTTATTTAGTTGGGTCTTATTTTGTAAATCATCTTCTGAATCCTTTCTTAGAATTTATAAACACCATGTTAGCTTTCTATGCACATAACTCAAGTAATAATAATGTAAACAAACACATATACGTGCTCACTATGTACCAGGATCTGCTCTAATGGCATCATGTATATTAACTCATTAATCATCACAACAACCTCATGAAGCATGTAAGGCACAAAGAGGTTAAATAGTTTTTCCAATGTGACACAGCCAAATAGAACCAGATATGCAAATGTGCTTTCCCAGGAATCAATAAACTTATGGAAATTCTGACATTTCCATG